CCATACAGGAAAGCGGAATGGAGAGCTGGACAAAGGCATACAGTGTTCTGTTGACATTGTTAGAGCCCCTGATTTATGTTCATTATGAATGAGGTTGATTAACATTTCATAGGTTTTTCCCTTTCCGCAAAGTGTTATTTATATCCTTTACTTATTTATCCACTGGACTGTTGGTGTTTTTCTCACAGATTTGAAGGACCTTTTTTTTAAGTATTCATTTTTTATTGAAGTGAAATTCACATAACAAAATTACTGTTTTATTTTTTTAAAGATTGTATTTATTTATCAGAGAGAGAGAGCCCAAGCAGGGGGAGCTGGAGGCAGAGGGAGAGGGAGAAACAGGCTCCCCGTTGAGCAAGGAGACTGATGCGGGACTCAATCCCAGGACCCTGGGATCATGACCTGAGCTGAAGGTAGACAGATGCTTAACCGACTGAGCCACCCAGGCGTCCCCAAAATTACCATTTTAAAGTGTACAATTCAGTGGCATCTAGTACATTCACAGTGTTGTGCAACCATCACCTCTTTCTAGTTCCAAAACATTTCCATCACCACCAAAGCGACCCTGTATCTGTTAAGCATTCACTCCCCCTGCCCCACCTGCCAGCCCGTGGCAGCCACTCATCTGCTTTCTGTCTCTGTGTGTTTATCTAGTCTGGATATTTTATATAAATGGACTTCTACAATATGTGGCCTTTTGTGTCTGGCTTCTTGCAGTCGGCATAATGTTTTTTGTTTTGTTTTGTTTTTTAAGATTTTATTTATTTATTTGACAGAAAGAGATACAGCGAGAGAGGGAACACAAGCAGGGGGAGTGGGAGAGGGAGAGCAGGCTTCCTGCTGAGCAGGGAGCCCGATGCGGGGCTCGATCCCAGGACCCTGGGATCATGACCTGAGCCGAAGGCAGACAGATGCTCAATGACTGAGCCACTCAGGCACCCCTGGCATAATGTTTTTGAGGTCCATTCATATTGTAGCATGTATCAATGCTTCATTTCTTTTTATGGCTGAATAATATTCCATTGTATGAATAGAACATGTTTTATTTCTCCATTTATCTGCTGATGGACATTTGGATCATTTCCACCTTTTGGCTAGCATGAGCAGTGCTGCTATGAGCATTTGTGTACAAGTATTTGTTGGAATCGTATGTTTTTGTGTACTAGGGAAATTAGTCTTTCGCCTGTAATAGGTGTTGCAAATATTGTTCTTCAGTTTGCAGTTTGTCTTTCGCCTTGTTTTATGGTGGTTTTGACCAGGCAGAATCTTGAAAAAATTGTTATGCAGTTGACTCTGTCAGGCTTTTACGGCTTACGGGTTTTGTGACACAGGAAAGCCGTCCTCATACTTGAGGTTATAAAATAATTCTCCCATCAGAGCTGCCACTTATACACTCATTTCCTCAAATAGGGATTAAAAACAGGCCACTTGCACTGTCCCCCTGGGGTTATTGTGAGGCCCAAATAAGATAAGCAATATGAAAGGGCTTTATAAAATATGAACCAGCATATACACGCATGGTATGTTGTCATTGCCACTATTAATTGTATGCAATCCTGGCACTAACTAGCTGAGTGCTGTGCTTGCTTTTGTTTTGCAGAGCAGAGACCGAAGGGCAGAATTATTCACTGAGCCAGCCAAGGATGCAGTAGTTGGTGGCATTGGAGAATGTCACAGAAGATATCAACTCTTACTAGTCATCTTGGGAGGGTTTCATATTTGATCAAACCCCCCCCACAAACATTGCCTTCAACCCAAAACTTTTCTGGTCATTCTTCCTCCGAGTAGAGTCTTTTTTTTTTTTTTCTCTACCAGGAAAAGAGTTTTGTGTTATTCAGCTGTAATTGTGACTTGAGCCTCATCAATGGCCATTTTGAAATGTTTTCCTTATGTTTTTAAACCTAAATTTTTTTTTTTTTTAATGGCAAACTTTAGGTTGAACACTGTATTGGTTGAGAAAGATACTTGACAGTGATTGTCACTGCATTGTCACTACAGTGATCGTTCTGATAAAGCACTTGCACTGGTTAAGTCCTTGGGCTCCCATATCAGTCAGACCTGGGTTTGAATACGATTCCATTAGTAGCTAGTTGTGTGATATTGGAAATTGCGTCATTGCTCTGTGCCTCTGTTTCCCTATCTGTAAAACAAGGATGATTACAGAACCTGACCCATTGGGTTGTAGCAAGAAGTCAATGATAAAATCTATATAATATACGTGGCCCCGATGGAAGGCTTGATAAATACTAGCTATTAGGAAAATTCAGGAATAGCTAAAAAAATTTAGGAAATGAGCCTGAGGTAAATGGAATATACCCTTCCGGGGGGTACTCCCATCCTTGGGGGGTGGCACAGATCAAGTGACATATTAGAGCCCCTTGCCCTGCCGCATACTACACTTGTTTTTGGAGAAATCTGATTTCTGTTACTACCTTGTGAAGGGTAATCATCAGGAATGGTAGTTGGTTCTCATATAACAAGGAAGAAGTGGCCATGTGGAGGAGTGTTGCGGAAGGGCAGCTGGGAGGCCTGTGAGCCTTGGGGAGGATTGGAAGGAAAAAGTCGAGGGCATCTTACCAGGAGGCCTGCCCAGGTCATACCACCTCTTCCTGGGGAAGGAAGATTCTGGGTGATGTGGTTTCACTGTGTGTGGTGATGTATTTGCAGGGGACATAACCGTTGTCTTATTTTTTCCTCTCTTTCTGCTCTTGACCCAGGGATCTGTGGAGCCCCAACTCTGATCCTGGGCCCAGCGTGTTTGGGCCCTAAAAAAGAAGTAACATTTGTGGGACCTCTGCTATGTGCCAGGCACTTTAAGTTCATGATCACCTTGGATTCTGTGCTATGAGTAACATCACTACCATTATACAGACGAGGAAACTGGAGTGAAGCTCAGTGAAGGCACGAAGCGACTTAGGGCCCCCCACAAGCTGGTAAGTGACAGAACTGGAATTTTAATCACCATCTGTCTTACACCAAAATCCAGCTCTTTTGCTGCTCAGCACGTAGCTCTATACCATACTTCACTTCAGTTTCTAGAGCCTTTTGTGACATTTCTGTGGCTCAGTGCCCTACGCATGGGTCTCCCAGAAATATTTGTGGATTCAAAATTTTAGCAACGATGAGAATAGCTGACACTTACTAGTTCCCGCCTCTGACACGTTAAGTCAAGCAGGTTAAGTCACTTGTGCCGTTTCTCAGAACTACAGTGGCAGAGCCAGGCAGGGAATCTAGTCTGTCATATCTCAAGGTGTGTGCACTTAACTTTTTTTCTCTGAGGGTCTATGCTTGAGGCAGGGATGCTAATCTCTGGGCACATCATTCTCAGGTAACATGGATGGCTTTCGTTGTTTTAAACTGGTCCCGAGGGGGACCTCCGAAGGACTGAGCATGCCCCTGAGAAGGGTGAAGCAGGAGGGTGATGGCACTGGCTGTGGGACAGTACTTACCAACTCTGTGACCTCCTATCTGGGGACGTGAAGCTGTAATAAGCCCTGTGATTCACGGCCAGCCTTCTCCCTGTGCTTTCTCCAAGCAGATCCTATGCCTTCCCGTCTATAGGCTTAGCTCAAGACTGTTTGCTGCATAGGAATATCCCGTCTCCTCCTGACCCCCCGGCCCCATGCCTGTCTGAGGAGACCCATTACAACTGCCACCTTCTCTGGGAAGCCTCAATGGACTGCCGTGGATTCATTTCTGAACCAAATCCAGTCATTTATTATGCACTCCGAAATAGGTAAATGGGAGACTATTTTGAGAAATTTGTGAAAATACCAAACTGAGGGGATAAACATATTAATGACAACCTTAATATGTATAATTTCCATGCTCAGAAACCCTATAGTGTTTGATTTCATTTTTTGTAAAACAAATCTTATTCTACCGAAGAGCATATGAAATGGGTTTAATCTCTTTAGTAGAATGCAGGATACTTGAGCATTTGCATGGCCAAAATCTGGTGTCAGATAGCCTATGTTTGAATGCTGGTGACTTTGGGTAAGTCCCTTCCCATATCTCTGCCTCTCTTCCTTCACCTGTGAAAGAGGGGTGCTTTTACTATGTTGTTGGGTTTTTAGGGGGAGGATATCATGGGGTAATAATAATTGCTACCATTTATTGAGTGCTTACTATGTGCCCAGCACCGTGCTAAGTTTAGCTTTTCATTCTTATTTGATCCTCCCAAGAGCTCCCTCATTCTTGAAGTCCCTTACCCAGCAATATTTTATTCCCCATAGCACTTATCTTCTTCTACCATATTGTATCATTTACTCATTTTGTTTATTTTTCATCTTCTGCTTCCAGGGCCTCTTGCCTTACATGACTCCAGGAGGCACCATTCACTGTGCATTCTGAGTTCGGCCTTTACCGAGAATATGAGCGTGACTGGTGGGGATTTCCCAGAGTTGTGTAATGTGGAGACCTGGAGCTCCAGGAAGACAGGGATCTATCTTTTCTTTTTTTTTTTTTTTTAAAAATGTGTGTATGCTTATTTTGATCATTGCTGTATCCCTGTATCCAGAACTATGCCTGATCTATAGTAAGCTTTCAATAAATATTTGTTGAAAGAATGAATTAAAAAGCCCTTAAAGAGAGCCCATTTTACTGGTGAGGAAACTGAGGTGCAATGAGTTACTGATTTGCCGAAAGCTCCAAGAGACACTGAGGCAGCTGGGTGTTTTCAGCATGCCTGCTCTCAACAGCTTTGCAAAGCTGCATGTCTGAAATGCCTGGCATTGTCCCTGCCAGCCTGCAATTGCTCAACAAATATTAATGAATTTGCCTACATGGGTCAGCCTCTCTCCTCTGCTAGACAATCCCTACAGAGTAACAAACTGTCACATAGCTGTTGCTTTGAGAAATTAAATTAAATTGCAAGGTGCAAAGAAAAGGTGAACCTTTTGGAGTTTTTGGAAGAAAAATTCCTAACCCGACTGCTAATGGAGTTTGCAGGGGCCTCTCAGGCCTTTCCCACCGGATTCTTTTTCCTGCTGCCTTCCCTTTTGTGAGCATTTCTTCCCCTTTTTGCTTGCAGTGAGTTCTGCTCTCCTGTAGGCTACAATGTGTCAGTTGTTATAAAATCCGGGAGGTGGAGCTTGGTGACGAGGTGGGTGGGGGAGCACTCAGCCAGCCCTGCAGGGCGAGCAGTTCAGCCTTGGTTCACCCGAAGCTTAAGCCTTGTAGCAGGAGAACTTCCATCTCGCTCTCCTGGGTTTGATCCTCACTGTACATCAGACCAGAGGCGCCGAAGGGAGGGAGGATGCGAGATGACCGGTCCTTTGGCAACCTGACCATCTCCTTAGCAGAGCTTTTGAAAGCCAGCCGGGGACTGACTGCCCGACCAAGGAGGCGCCGCACCTCTCGTGAATGTGTGTGTGTGTGTGTGGGTGTGGGTGGGTGGGTGAGCCGGTGTGAGTGAGTGAACGTGTGTGTATGTGTGTGTGTGCATCACGACTGTGTGTGTGTCCGGATGAGTGTGTGAGTGCACGCGTGAGTGTGTTTGCGTGCATGTGTGTATGATCGCTCTCGGTTATTATTTCTGTGGAAGAAAAATCTTGAAAATCTGGGGCAGGTTACTGTGCTTCTAGGGTGGTAGTTCTTCTTTTGCAAGAAGAGCTGACCAGACCAAGCTACTAGAGACATTTTTTTCGGCGAGTAAAGAGAATTTTCCTCCCGGATCGAGAGGGATTTTTCCCCCTCCTGGCTCTGCAGCCAAGTAAAAGAGATTAGTCCCTAAACCTGTGAAATCGACTAGGACCGTGTGATTACCAGGGCTTGAGAGAGGACTTGGGAAGAAAAAGAGAAATAAATCAAACAGCTTGTCAGTGCCTTTGGCCACGTTGGAAGATGTCATCTCAAACTAAGTTCAAGAAAGACAAAGAGATCATTGCCGAATATGAAGCCCAAATAAAAGGTGAGATGCGGGCTGGGGAGTCATGCTTCCCCTCCCCTTTCCTTTTTCTCTTGCTTTGGCTTTCTTTTACCCTTTTCCTCCCTGCCATCACGAAATGTTGTTATGCATCAATAATCTTATTGTGAGTGGGACCAGTGGCAGCCGCACAAGTCCAGACTGGTTTCAACTGCAGAGAGCGCCGGCGCTGGGAGTATGGATTATAGAATGGGCAGCAATCACTGCATTGCAGGTGTGTGAGGAGGATCCGACGCCCGGCTTTAGGAGTGTCGCGGATACTCCATCATCTTGGTGGTGACATGTCACTCTAAGGCCATTTTGACAGTCACCACCTCCTCCCCCCATCCCATGCCGAAAGCCCCTTCATATGATTTTTTACCATCTGCTTTTCTTTTTTTTGCCTCTTTTTGGTTTTTTTTTTGTTGCTCTCCCTTTCCCCTTTCTCTGGGCTGGAATTCACATGCATATGCACAGGGAAGCAGCATCCCTGGGCTGCCATTCTTTGTCACTGTCTCTTGGCTGGCCTGGGTTGCCATGGATGAACTGTTACAGGGCATATTGATCCGAACTAATGCAGGCATTTAAGCATAAAGAGGGAGCTCGGTGCAGAAAATGTATTCTCTCACAGTGTGCAGCCCCAATCACCATCCGGCTGCTTGCTAGCATGTAGGGGCACCAGCCTTCATTCAAAGCCAACAGCTCAGTGTGCCCTTTCGGCTGGTCGGAGCTGCCTGGCTGCCGTAGTGCCCGAGGACGCCTGCCAGCAGGGTGAGATGACCTCTGGCTGCTTGGTCCAGCTTTGCTGCGCGGGGGGCACACTCCTCTCTGAAGCTGCTCCCTAAGTCCTCCCTAGCAAGGCGAAATAGGACACTGGACACAATGGCATAGACAAATGCAGGCGGGATCCTCATTCATGCCAGACTGGGGTTCTCCCACCTTCGTGAGTTTTAGGCTCAGCTTTGGTGAGGAAAACCTAAAAGCACCATGCTCACTCTTTCTCTGAGGATGTACCCTGAGGAAAGCTGGGCCTGTGCCTCTTAGTGTCTGGTTTCTTTCTGGTCCTGGATCTCCTTGCTGCGACACAGGCTGTGTTGTGGTCTTCCATGGAAAGACTGAAGACAAAATACGTCTTCAGGGGATACCGAGGCCTGCCCTTGAGGTTCTGGGTGGACTATTAGAGCAAGTTGGTTATTTGGGGCCCAGGTGACGTGAGGCTGCCACACCTGCTTTTAGGTGCTGCCGCAGCTCCAGACTCGGTGACCCAGGAAGTCGGGTTGCCTCCCCAGGAGCACCGGGAGGCCGGCATCCACAGCTGCTGCACACGCTTCAGATGCTTGGGAACCTTTGGGAGGGGAGCAGCCATCAGGGGAGAGCTTTGTTTTTTTTTTCCAGTCTCGCCAACCGTCTTGTGCCTTTTAGTTCTGGTCAGACCCGGCATGCTAATCACCTCTGGGTCGACCCCAGGGCAGAAATAAGCAGAAAACCCTTCTCCAGTTTTCAGTTCGTATGGAAAACAGTGCCTTACGATGTTTCAACCTTGCTGAGGATTTAGAAGCAAGTCCTTTATTGGTCAGAGATTTGAATTCACCCGACTGCTCCAATACAAAAGCCCAGGTTCGGTCTTTGCATACACACTTTTTAGGGAGTTTATGTTTTATAAGACGAGTGTAGCTGATTATTATTGTTCTTTTTAACTGCGGTTCCCAAGAAAAATGGCACAATAGAGAAGGGGATGTTGAGTTTTGGACAATTTGGGGTTTTTATTAGCATTGTCGTGGTAGGGAGCACGCTTGTCTCATTTTTGGATTGCTACCACTGGGCCCATGAACTTTGCTTGAGGATCAATTAAGCATTTATTGCTCTGGCTGATTCTTTTACTTTTTACCTTTCACCTTTATTTTAACAACTACTCAGCAAGCCCAAGGTAACGCATTTCAGCAGGAAATTTGTCCAGATGATCTTGTCTCTCCCAGACTCTAAAGGTCTCTACATTCTGGTTAAAGGAATTGAATTTTATTCCTTTGGAATTGACACCCACACGACTTAGATCAGGATGTTGATGTGCCCAAAACCGTCTGGAATCTTTTCTCTCAAAATTCTGTTAATCATCATCATAATTACTGATGTCCATACAGGGCTCTACAGTTTCTCTGGCTCACTCCCAAACATCACTCCTCGTGGCCTACACAATGTTACAGAAAGGGTTCGTATGAGCTCAGTTTTGGAGATGAGGAAACTGAGGCCTCATCGTGTGGAATGACTTGCCCAAGGTCACAAGGCTGGGAATGTGAAGGCAGCCGGTCATCTTTCCCAATACATTGTTTGCCTGAAGCTGCCCCGTGAAGGATTGATGTTAGTAGCAGATGGCGGTTTTGTGGTGGGGACTGGCTGCCTCTTGATCGTGTTCCATTGTTTACCCTCCTACTTTTATCCCTTGCCTTTGTTGTTTGTCTCTGAAGAATGTTTGACCAATCACCAAAAATAACGCCTGATGCCAATTTCCTTTCTCCCAGGGTATCATATGGCCAATTTGGTGCAAACACTTCACTTAGGTAGATTTTGTCCTCTGTGAGTCGAGTGAGGAGAATTTTTGGTTTTTTAAAAATGACACTGAGTTCTTTGTTGACTTATTCTCTTTTATCTCTTTTTGAAGAATTTATTGACCTAAGAATTTTTAAAACTGTTTCTTTTCTCCTGTTGTAAAAAATCTCAGATCCATGCCTTCTCTTGCCTCGTCAAATACTTGAATCCCTTTGATTATATATTTGCAACATAGTAGTATACCACGTGCTTTTACATTTCCAGTGATGGGGAACTCATCACTTCCCAAGTCTACATATTCTACCTATGGATAGCTCCGGCTGTTGTGTTGTTTATGTCCACCTATTGCTTCTATATTATCTTCCCCTTGGGACTTCATAGAACAAGACAGATGCTGCTTCGTCCCCATGACTGCCCGTTGGATGTTTGGAGACTCTGATCGTAGCCCCTGCACTATGATTATCCTCATTTGCTCATGTAAGGTGCTTATCTGCAGCTTAATCATCTTCTCTCTCCTTTGGATTTACTATATACTGGGATGCAAACTCTAGTGCCTTTGGTTGCTTGGCAGATAGAAAAAATGAGTGAAGGTGGCTGAGTAAGATGATTTGTGGTAGTTGATCACCACTTCATTGAGGGCAATAGAAGAAAGAGTGGTGGTGATTATGGTAGGCTTGAGAGCACGTGTCCTGTCCAAATGGAAAGTCACTACTTGGGTTCAGCCTGTTGTTGCCATTTAGGAATGTAGGCCTAACTAGATCTTTCAATTTCTCAAGAGATGCCAGAAATCTAGATGAAAGCTTTATGCTATTAAAGATGTTTTTCCAAGGTACACCTGGCTGACTCCATTGGTAGAGCTTGTGACTCTTGATCTTGGGGGTCATGAGTTTGAGTCCCAAGTTCAGTGTAGGGATTACTTAAAAAAGTTTAAAAAAGTTTTGTGACTCTTGATCTTGGGGTTATGAGTTCAAGCCCCATACTGGGTGTGAAGATTACTTAAAAATAAAATCTTAAAAAGAAAGATGTTTTGCCAAATGGACCTTCAAAAGATCATACTATCAAAAACCTTCTTCAAGAGTGGTAGGAAGTTCTAGATGAAGGTCTCTGGATGTGGTCAGAGAAAGAAAACAACTATCACCTCCTTTATGCTGCATGTAATGCTTCTACTTATATAGCCCAAAGGTTGAATTAGCCCTTTCACTGCCCGCCTCCTCTTTGTACCATATCTTTTATATCTGCTGTATTTTTCCAATCCACTAGGCTAGGAGTTTTGTCAGAGAAAAGAAAATGAAATGAATTTAATAGGACTTGTTTTTGGTGACCCTGTGCTGGCTCCAGGACTCTGCTTGCTGTCTGAAGTGCTTACAAGTGTCCCTTTATGAATCTGTTCAAGAACTTTCCTTGAGAGTGACATCACATTTCTCTAGCCTGGAAATGGCAAGCTATAACTTCTTCCCCCTTTTGAAAATCAGAATAACATTTGCCCATCTCCAGAGTTTTGGCATCTATCCTATTTTTTCACAATTCCCTCAAAGATCACTGATAGTGTTTGGTAATCTTATTTGCCAGAGTTCCTAGTATCCTGGCTCTAATTCATCTTGCTGTCAGACATGATGATCTGTTCTGCTTTTATTCAGAGTTCCCATTTCCATTTCAACCTAATAGAAAATTGAAATAGAAACACTGTGATTGACTTTAGTGTTTTGTTTTTTTATTATGCATCCATAGTCACTTTAGGTCATCTTCTTAAGAGCAAAAGTCTAGAATTTGGGGGAAGAAGAGCAGATTTTTGAAGACGATCACAGAGAAGTATTTCTTTACTCATTCATTTATATATTCATTCAATAAACATTGATTTTCTACTTTGTTCTTAGTGTTGGTGCTGGGGGTTGTGAGAGATGCAGAGTATATGATATATTCTTGGTTTTCTAAGATTTTTCTTGAAATATGGTGATAAAATCAGTGAAGGAAATTTAAAAAACTCAGAACACGGGCGCCTGGGTGGCTCAGTTGGTTAAGCGACTGCCTTCGGCTCAGGTCATGATCCTGGAGTCCCGGGATCGAGTCCCGCATCGGGCTCCCTGCTCGGCGGGGAGTCTGCTTCTCCCTCTGACCCTCCTCCCTCTCATGCTCTCTGTCTCTCATTCTCTCTGTCTCAAATAAATGAATAAAATCTTTAAAAAAAAAAAACAAAAAAACTCAGAACACAAAAACTTCTAGCTGAACACCAGAATGAGTTTAGTCTGAAAGAGATTATGCCATTGAATGAGTGGATGAGCTCCTTAGGAACCCTCACTACTCTCAGCAGGCTCCAAGAAGGAAAGGACGCTGGGTTGGGGAGACACTGGGGAGTAGTAGGGACTGTGGCTGATTAGTGAGCTCACCTAGAGGAGTCAGCTGCTGCTCGGCTCCAGTCTTCACTGCCAGGCAGGGTATGAGCCCAGAGTGGTCAGTTCTTTCAG